GACTTGGGGCGTTGTTCTGTTTTGGCTGTCTTTTGGTGTTCTCTGTTTTGCAGTGTGGCTGTTTTTTCCAGGTTTGCATTGGCTTGGCTGCTTCGAACCCTTCGGCCAAGGCCTCTTTTGGGCACATGGTTGGGCCTCTCCTCGGAAATCGCCCACCTTGGCCCCGGAGACGGCGGACGATTTCGTGCGTGGGTGGGCCTGGGATGGGGTCCGTGATATAGAACACTAAGAAGCCTGCATAGATAGCAGAGGAACATTCCAACATGCCCCAACGTGCCCAAGGCACGGTGGCGCGTATGCTCTCGAGGGCGGGACACGCCTCCAGACTCCCGGCCTCGCGGCCCGGCCGCCTCGACCGCTGCCCCGTGGACACGGGGCGGCTCCGCACGGACGCCCCGCTCCTCCTCCTCCTCCTCCTCCTCCTCCTCCTCCTCCTTCTCCTCCTCCTCCCCATGTGACCTCGAGCCCGTGGGGCCGCGCCTCGGCATGCAGACCGCGGGCCGGGATGTGGACACGGACACGTTGGTCGCTCGTGCCTTCCCGTCGGTGGTTTCCTGTGGCTCGCACGGCACGCGGTGCCATTGGGTGACTTTGTGGCCCCCGCGTTCGAGTGCTGGCGGGTCCCCGCTCGAAGTCTCAGCAGACTTGCAGCGCACGTGTGGTACCAGGTCGAAGCCTACAGCATAAAGTGACAGCTTCATCGTCTTGTCGCTCCTGCCGCCGCCCTGCGACCACCTCGAGCCTCCTCTGCCCCCCTGGGGGGAGGCGAGTGCATCGGCGACGTGAAGGCGTGCCCGCGCCTCTCGCCGCGTGCGTCCCGTCTGGGCACGGGGGGGGGGAGAGAGCATCATAGGAGGAGGAGGAGGAGGAGGGCCATAGCATGTTGCCGACCCTTCTGCCCGCACTGGCTGGCAGTTTTCTGTATATCATCTTGACGCTGAGATCCAAATCGATCTAGTCTGCCTAACGTCAAGACGACCGCCAGAGTAAGCCCAAGCTGCGCCAACGGTGCTGCAGTACAACGTCCCGTCCCAAGTGTCCTCCTTCTTCCGAAGTCCCTGCAAGCATTCCTTCTCACTACAGGAAGCGCCCCCCGCGAGAGCCCCGCTTTGAGAAGGAACTGCCTTGCATCCTCTTCGCGCGAACCGTCTGGCACGCAAGAAGGTATGGTCATACAGCTCAGCGATGCGTCCAGCGAGAACCCCGTTTCGAATTCGGTCCGCCCCACGTGTCTCTGGCGCAATTTTCAGTTCGGGCCATGCACTTAGTTTTTTTTAAGTTCGGGCCATGCGCTTCGGGGATGTCTCCAGCGAGCGCCTGGTTTGGCAGAGAGGATCCGCCCTCCATCCGTGCAGCTGGTCCACAGGTTCAAGTCCTGGTCGTGGGCAATGAGGGCAACTCAAGCCACAGCCCTATTTTGACAAGGAGCCGTCCTTCATCCATGCAGCCGTGGTAAATCTTTCGACGACTGCGCGCGCGGCGCTGAAGTGCCAAGCCTATTTGTCAGGACAAGGACCTCTTCCATCCGTGCCACTGTTGCAAGCTTTGGCAACGAGTGTGCGCGTTGCTGAGACTAGGGCCCATGCTGAAAAGGAGCCGCTCGCCATCCTTAAAAGCCGTTGCAAGCATTACGCCAAATGTGCGCTGCTCTTAGGCGACAACTCAATGTTCAAAGCGACCAGTGCTTCATCTTTGCAACTCCTGCAGGCCTTTAGTACGAATGCGCGTGGCGCTAGGGCAAGAGCTCCATTTTGTAAGCGGCCTCTCTCGATCTTTGTAGCTGCTGCAAGCTTTTAAGCTGAATGTGCGCGGCGCTACGGCGGGATCATCACGTAAAAAACCTGTTTTCCATCATCTGAATTGTCTCAATCTTGTAAGACGAATGTGTGCGGCGCTCATTCGACAGCTTCCTTTCGAAAATGGCCTGGGCTCCATTCTTGTCACTGCTGCAGCTTCCAAGCTTAAGGGTCATCCATGGTGAGGAAGTCTCCAGCGAACCCCCAGGCTCGCTCCTTCGCTCCTGGGGGTGCGACAGTGAGGTGTTTCTATGAGAAAGAGGGATGGAGGAGCAGAGGGAAACGCAGCAGAGGAGCAGGAACGTCGGGGGGAACCAACCATTACGGGCTGGGACGACGATTGGTCGCTCCGGAGAGTTCAGAACGCACCCGCCAGTTCGAAGAGATTTCCAGTCGCCCATGCCCGAGTTTACCTTCTTCCTGCCAGCGTCCTTGGCCAGTGCCACCGGATGCCTCGGAGCACTGGTAGAAAGGGAGAGGAGCAGGAGTAGGAGCAGGAGCAGGAGCAGGAGGAGGAGGAGGAGAAGGAGGAGGAGGAGGACGAGGAGGGGGATGAGGACGAGGAGGAAGAAGCGAAGCAGGAGGAAGAGGAGGAGAGGGAGGAGGAGCAGGAGGAGGAGGAGGATGAGTAGGAGGAATTGAGAAGGAAGAGCAGGAGGAGGAGGCTCGAGGAGTCAGGTTTTGTGCGCTTTGTCCCTTTTGGTGTCCAGAGATCTCCGGCGGCTCTCATGACGGCTCCCCTTTCGCCTGAGGGGCGCGATCGGGCTCATGGGAATGTCGTCCAAGCGCGGGCGGCTCGACCCCTCTCCTCCCTCCCCCCTCTTCCTCTGACCCTCCCATCATGTCGGGCCAGCCCCCCAGCTTTCGGACCCCCGTCAGTGAAATCCAAGCCGTGGCTATGAGGGTCTCCGCAAACGGCGACGGCGGCGACGACGACTTCCCCCCCCTACTCCCTTTCCATCCTTTTCTCCCTCCTCCTCCTCCCCCTCCTCCTCCTCCTCCTCCTCCTCCTCCTCCTCCTCCTCCTCCCCCTCCTCCTCCTCCTCCTCCTCCTCCCTCCTTCTTCTCACTCCTCCCTCATCCCTCCTGCCTCTTGCCTTCTCCTTCCTCCCTCCTCTCTCCTCCCTCTCCTGGCCCTCCATCTCTCGTTCTTTCAGTTCTCTCCCCCCTTGTTGTACTACCAGACGTGTCCGCAGGCTGGACTGCGCGTTTCGCCTGAGACTTCTTGCGTTCTGCTATCCTCGAGCACCAGAGCCAACAGTTGCGCGGATGCTGGGCCAGCGGTCTTCAACAGGTGGCTCTCGCTTCAGCGCCGCGCGCTTTCGTTTCAACAGGTTTCCAGCCTTTCCAAGGATGGAGGGCCAGTGATTCTCAAACTGAAGCTCTCGCCCAGGGACGCGCACATCCCCTTGCAACACTCTCAGTGATTAATTAGAAGGGTGCTGGCCGGTAAGTTTTCCAAAATGATGCTCTCATCTGAGATTCATCAGGCTCTATGACCCGACATTTGCCACTTGTGCAACAGCTGCGCAGATAGAGGGTGGCTCTTTTTCAAGCGGGGCGCTCGCTTGACAGTTCCTTTACAAGTCACGACCATGGGTGCAAGAACGTGGCCCAACAGATCTAGCGCATTGATGGCGGCTCCCTTGCAAACTCGTGCTCTCGCTCGAGACTTGCCCGAGATGCAGACCAGGGGCGTAACATGGCCCAACAGACTTAGCGGACGGATGGCGGCTCCCTTGCAAGCTCGTGTTCTCGCTTGAGACTTGCCCGAGCTGCAGATTTGTAGCTCGAAGGATGGACGGGGCTATTGTAGTGGCCTTCGGCCAGTGCCGCCGATCCGGGTCGCTCGGGGTGCCCCCCGGACTGGGCGGCGACACTCCGCCGACAGACACGCACGCACACGCTCGCAGACATTGCGCGCACACGCGCACACACACACACACGCACGCCGACACTGCACAAACCCACAGACACACACTTTTTGGTCGGCGGGGCGAGAGCGAACCTCTTCCGCTAAAAGCTAGGCGGGCTACGCACAGCTTTCATTAGGGGGACAGGGCGCAAGAAGGCGGGGCCTCAGGCGGCCGGAGTACGCACGCTCGCAGACATTGCGCGCACACGCGCACACGCACTGCACGCACGCACTGCACACACCCACAGACACACACGCACACATACACACACCACATTCGCACGCGCGCGCCACCCTGCGGTCTCGCCCGAGCGGCAGGCCCTTCCGGGCGCTCGTCACTCCAGGAGGGGAGGGGGGGCGCTCCCCTGCAGGCGGAGAGGGAGCACCCGGAGGGCCTTCCTGGGGAGGGAGCTCGAGACGGGGGCGTGTAGTGCAGCATCGCTGATGCACGCTCTGGCCCTCCTCCCTCCCTCCCTCCCTCCCTCCCTCCCTCCTCCTCCTCCTCCTCCCTCCCTCCCTCCCTCCCTCCCTCCCTCCTCCTCCTGCTGCTCCTCCTCCTCTTCCTCCTCCTGCTCCTCCTCCTCCTCCTCCTCCTCCTCCCTATGCAGGCTGCGTTCGCACGACGCGCCTTTGTGGCATCCTCTCAGGGAGCATCCGCGTGAGCAGTCGCGTCGCATTGCCTCATGCTGTATTGCAGTGGTCGCGGGCTTGTGCTCCTCAGGGCAGCCCATGGCGCTGTTTGCTGGAGTGCGGTGCTCTCCCACAGCGCTCTCGGCCGCCACGCCTTCTTCCGCTGTGGCCTTCAGGTGCCTGCCGCTCAGGCAGGCATTTTGGAGGCGCTGGGGCGTGGACCCCCCCCCTACCCCTTCATCCCCTCGGACCTGCCTAGTCGGAAGCAGGCCACCGTCCTAGTCCTCCTCCCAGTCTCCCTCCTCGTCGTCCTCCTGCTTCGCTTCTTGCTCCTCGTCCTCCTCCCCCTCCCCTTCCTCCTCCTCCTCCTCCTCCTCCTCCTCCTCCTCCTCCTCCTCCTCCTCCTCCTCCTCCTCCTCCTCCTCCTCCTCCTCCTCCTCCTCCTCCTCCTCCTCCTCCTCCTCCTCCTCCTCCTCCTCCTCCTCCTCAGGCTGCCATTTGGGCCCACGCGCGCGGGGGCGCGCGGCGGGCGCATCCATCTGGCCCCAGCCTGCAGCCCGACGGCGGGCGCAGGCGCAGCGGTGGCGGCGAGCGGCCCCTGCGGGCGGGCCCCGTCGCCAGCCTGGCATCGCCGCCTGCGCAGGCGCCGCGCCAGTGCGCGCCAGACTCTGCGCGGGGCCGCCGCCAGGCGAATCCTGCAGACGCACCACGGCAGTGCGCCGCCCGAGGAGCCGCAGCAGGTGCAGATGCATGGCGAGGTATGGTCATGCAGAGCGTCCAAGGCCTGCGGGTTCCGCAACAACTACTCGAGCAGGACGACGTGCTGGGCGTGCGGCAGGGACAGGGACGGCAGGCCCTCGACCGCCCCCCAGCGGGCGCCCAGCCGCAGCAGGAGGCCTCCTTCGCGCGGCACCGAGGCGCCCAGGCGCGAGCGTGCTGATCCTGCTCCTGCTGCTCCTCAAGCTGCTGGAGACGCAGCGGCACAGCAGTCCCCAGCAGTCAAGTCCAAGCGTGCGTGGCTGGCCTTACGTCGGATCTACGGTGACGAGCACGACCTGGTCATCGCCGCCAAGGCCGCCCACGACAAGGAGGAGTCCGCCATACGTGCTCAGATGGACCCCTCCGACCTGCTCAAGAGCGCCAAAGACAGGTGGGCTGCCAAGGAGTCTGAGCGCGCGGCCAAGGCCGCTCAGGTCGAGCAGTTGTCCAAGGAGCTCGCCGACGCGCAGCAGCAACTCGCCAGGCTCGAGGCCGAGACGGCCAACCTCAGCGCGGAGGTCGCCCACGCCCAGGCTGCAGTGGCGGCCGTGGCAGCTGACGGGACCCCCGCGATGGCTAACGTCTCTGTGGCCATCCAGCAGCTTCAAGCTGTTCTGGTCTCGGCGCGCGCAGGCACGTCGAACATGGACGGCGCCCAGCTCCTCAGCACCATCGAGCAGCAGGTCTC